CTCCCCGGAGGCCCGGTCTGGGGAACAAAAGAGCCGGCGAGCGCTTTAAGCGGCCGGACATTCCCGGCTGCTCGGCGGACGCGCCCCCTGCGCTTTGAACTGCGGCTGGAGCGGCCGGCGCCGTCCCGGGCTGCAGCCCCGTGCCCTCCCCCCGGGCCAGCCCCGAACTCGGGAGGCTGGAGAATGGGAGACCCCGCGGACTGTGGAGTGGGTCTGGGCTGCGGAGAAACACGCAAAGCTGCGGGATTTGCCCCGACCCCCTGTCACCGAGCCCAAGTCTGTATTTTCGAGATAATTCCTTCAAAACTGCATAAAGTTGTCAAAGATTCGGTTTTCCATGGGTTTCTGGTACTTCCACCCAAAGGCTAGGACGTTGAGCTGCAAGACTGACCTCTCTAGACTGAAGCATTGTGGTGCTTAAATGGTAGGAGGCGTGGGAAGGCAGCTTCCTCCAGGGTGGGGAGAGCCGACCCAACAGGAGGAAGGGGACCCTAGAGTAAACGGGGTACCCACCCCAGTTCTGCCAGCTGGGTGCCCAGCCAACCCAGGCAGTCACTCTCTGAGCTCACCTGAAAAGTAAAGATAATCATATCTCTCCTGTTGACCCCTAGAGACCTTTAAACCACACAGGTCCCGATGAATGACCTGGGAACTGGAAAAGCAAGCTGAAAGTTAAAATTCCCAGTAACATTTCTACGCCCAAAGAAGATTCAGTGTTTTCCATCAGAGAACAAGTAGATGACACAGGTCCCATGTCAGAATGTTACAGAAGGTAGGCATGCCTCCTAGCCCTCAGAGATCTTGACTCTTCACCACTCACTATCACATGACCTTCTGCTGAGTCCAGCATGATGGGCTAGTCCAGCAAAATTATTGAGCACCTACTTAGTTCTAGGAGCAGGAGATTTAAAGTAGTCTCTGCCTCACTCAGCTATTTGCTCCTGGCATTGGACTGAGATGGCAGAGGAATAACCAAGTCTCTGTTTTTTATAATCCTTACCCAAGGATATATTTTCCTTTGCTTTTCTGAGAGAGTGGAGGGGAGCGGGGAGAGAGAAACATTGATGTGAGAGACCCAGGACCCTTCAGTCCGAGGGCTGGTGCTCTAACCACTGAGCAAACCAGCTAGGGCCCAAGTCTCTCTTTTGACTCCAACTCTGGAATCTTGGGATCAGGAATGTTACCCATATATAAAACTAACCTTGGCGTAGATGCATAAAGAAGGGCAGGCCTCCAGAAACCAGACACATTTATTAATGATGGGGTTTGTGCAGCCCGGGGACTCCTCACTCTGTAGTAGCAATTGGAAGGTGAATCTGAGAGACAAGCACTTGAGGCATGTGAGCAGTGGGAGGCAATGGAGAAATTCCAGGTCAGGGGACAGTAGTACACCAAAGCCCCAAACTGATTTTATGGTAGGGAAGGGCAGGAATGATAGACCTCTACTGGCCATAGGAAAGGGAGGGAAGGGTGGGGGCAGCCAAAGTCCTGGAACTCCCTCCCACAGGGTTTGAATTCTCAACAACCCCTTCTTGGCTTGTCCTGGACTCCAAGAGGTCAAATTGGTGTCCTGAGCTGTTGTCATTTTAAATTCATTTTGACAAGTGTTTAATTCTTCTTTATCACAACACTTGGTCTGAGAGTGATATGCAAATAATGGCTATTCTGCCGCATGCAAAATGAGCAGTATCTCTCCGTATGATCTGTCAATTAACTCAGGTCTGGCCCACCAGCCACTTTGGGGGTGGTCCTGGGCAGGCTAGCCTCTGGCTTTTGGTTCCCTCCAACAGAAAAGCATGCCTGTGGCCCTGGATTGGTAGCTGAATAGGTTGGAGCATTGTACCAATATACCAAGGCTGTGGGTTTGATCCCGTCAGGGCACATGCAAGAATCAACCAAATAAGTGGAAAAACAAATCTCTCTCCCTCTCTCTCTCATCAATAAATAAAAATTTAAAAATAAAGAAACAATAGCATGCACGTTCCAGGCTCTGTAAAGATCTTAGCAGAGCAGCTGCCAATCATGATCCTGAGATGAGTGTGGGTATGAGTGTGGAGTTTTGTGTGTGACCGTGTGCCCATATTTGAGTAAGTGGACACAAAGGTGTTTGTGAAGGTGAGTATGCACATGTGGATCTCTGAGCTTGCCTATATGTGTGAATGTGCAGCCATGAGCAATTTTGGAGACCAGAGTTATGCAGAAGAATAATTATGGAGCCCCAAATCTCTCGAGTTGTTTGTTCACTCCTCTCTTGCACCTGAGAAAGGTAAAAAGAAAAAAAAAAAAGTGTGTCCTGCCTGGCTCAGTGGTTGATCGACCTATGATCCAGGAGATAGCGGTTCGATTCCCAGTCAGGGCACATGCCCGGGTTTTGGGCTTGATCTCCAGTAGGGGGCATGCAGTAGGCAGCTGATCAATGACTCTCATCATTAATGTTTTCTCTCTCTCTCCCTCCCTCTCTCTGAAATCAATAAAAACATATTTTTTAAAAAAATGCATGTCAAGATGGAAAGAGATCCCCAGAGAACCTAAAGGAGTGTCATCAATGAACACATCTTTCCTAAGTTTAAGTNTAAAAAATGCATGTCAAGATGGAAAGAGATCCCCGGAGAACCTAAAGGAGTGTCATCAATGAACACATCTTTCCTAAGTTTAAGTCTTTTTCCTAAGTGCCTGTTGAGGGAGGAAGATGGTTCAGTTCTTTCCCATTACCACCTGCTCTCTACCCTCAAACACCAACATTTCCCATCTGGTAGGAAATACATTCTCTATGCAGAAAGGCTGAGGAAATTCTGGACAGTGGTTCCAAAAGAGAATTCCATATTTTTGGAAAATAGTTTATTAATTCATTATAAGGACAGATACATGATCAATGCCTTGGCTTAACACTAAAAAATGTCATATTTGTAAAGAGAAACAAATGCTGGAAAAATAATTAAATAAAGAGCATAAACTAAATACAGACAAATAAATGAGCAGAAATGATTACACTTGCCATGCATCAAAAAGGGGAAGGCTTTAAAATGAGACTCAAAAACGTAAGGCATCGATGGTAGGTGACAAAGGGATTAATACCCTGTAAAAGGCCAATAGACTCTTTTCTAATAAAAATACTGCCACAAAGACACAAACCTAACACTTCCAAATTACCCAGAGCCCAAATCATATATAATACTAGTGAGTAATGGCCACTTTCTTATCAACTGTGAGTTATAGGCAGATACCAGATTTATTACTTATTTGCTTTTGAGAAACAATTTTCCACCCAACCTAATGGGTTATAAATTGTCTCATTTGCAGCTATTTAATTTAAACCAGAACCTCAGTGCCTGTTAAACAAGAACATGAAAAATGACTATGTGGTGTAATGCTAAGAGCCTACTGTTAAAACAGCCATTTAATTCAGGGCAGTTTTTTTTTTTTTTTTCCTTTAGGAAAAAAAAAATCAAACCAGCAAAATAAAACGAGGCTTTTGACCTTCAGAGCAATGATGAAACATATAGAGTGTGGTGTTAGCCACAGCAACGCTGAATGCCACAGAAATAGTACAAGTGACAATTCTGTCCTTAACAAGATACAAAACCAACATTAATAATCTTTAGTGTTATCATAGGCTGAAGGAGGGGGATGGGGAGGAAATGTAGGTGCGATGTCAAACGTGAGTGACACCCGAGTGTAATAAACACAGATGCTGAAAGGGTCTGAGGAAGCTGCAACTCTGCTGAGAGACATTTCACCATTAAAAAAGGGGGGTGGGTGGAGATAGACTGGTTATTTCTAATTTAGCCCAGAAGCCAGAGTTAACCCTCGATATCCCAATCAGTTAAAAATGCATTTAGGGAGAAAAGACCCCCACATTCCATGCTCCTACGAGAGGCTGAGGTGCAAAATAAAATAAAATGCATTGTTTTGTCAGCACAGAACATAGAAGCCAAGCTTGTCCTTGCGGGGCAGATCAACAGAAATCGACTTCAGGACTGAATTCAGAACAAAACAGAACAAAAAAAATGAGCCAATTGCCCTGGTCCTGTGCAAAGAGCTCCCTTCCAGCACCCAAAGGGATGAGATTCCTCTCACTCCTCCCCCACCAGCTCATGTGCAAGGTGCTCAGAGTGGGAAGCTGCAGGGCTGCAGAGCCCCGAATTCCCACTCGCCTTCCCCTCTTTTAGCTTTAGCTAAGAAAGAAGGACCCAAAACACCCTCCCATCCAGCAAACCTGCCTCCCTGCATAGAAGGGAGGGGGGAATTTTATCCTGAGCCTCTGGGTTATGTTCCCATTTCCCCATCCCCAAAGTCCCCTTGTGCGCCTTGGATTCATCACCTCCAAGGAGAACCCTCCCATCTCAATCCCAGGGAGAAAGATACAAGGAAAGCTGGAAGGTCTTCTCCAAACTTGCACTAGGGGTGGGCAGTCTGCTGGGAGGAGGCAGCCGGAGGCACAGAGAGAAGAGGGGGCAGGAAGGTACGGAGTAAAGCGAAGGGGCAGACACAGGAGTCACGCTATGGCCTCGAAGCAGACATGAGGTAGTCATGTTGTTAGGGAAGGAAGGCAGGAGAACCACATACACACTTTGGGAGAGGCGTGAGAGACAGGAGAGGCAGACAGAAAGAGGAGACAGAAACAGCAGAGGGGAAAGGAAAGTGTCAGAAGGAAGCGAAGGGCACTGGAATTAGGAGAGCAAGTCGGCTGGGGGAGAGGCCATTAGAGTAGCGAAGGGGAAGGAAGGAGGGGAGAGCAAGAGAAAGCAGATGTTCAAAACCAGGCACTTCCCAAATTACAAAATTAACTGCAGAGTTGTTCTGAGGGGAACCAGAGTCACCCTCTCAATTTGGGCAATGGGAGGTGGGAGATGGGCAGCAACGGAACTAAAATGTCAGGCATTCAGAGCCTATTTGCACTCAGCTCAGCCAGCCAGGAAAATGGACTGGGGCTGTCTTGTCAGACAGGGCATTGGAGACACTCTCAGAGTGTGTAATAAAAGGCTGGGTGGCAGAGGTGGGGGACGCACAGGGCTGAGGACTGACCACTCTGGGGCACTGTCCTAACCTGGAGGATCAATTCGGCTGTAGTGACCACTGCCTGGACCAAGGTTTCCCAGCTCACCAACCAGCACACACACATGTGCTTCACATATGTGTACATCACATATTGCCATGCCTCACATGTCTCTCACATATCATGTGTCACAGCGTATGGGGGGAGTGAATAAGCCATTTCTTTCTCTGTCTCTAGCCAAAGCACCCTAGGAGGCTCCAAATGGCTTGTTCGGTATCTGCAGGTACACAGGTGTCATATCCCATGATCCATAAGAGCCTGTCCCAAACTGTACTCTCTAGGGGAGCTATGCAGAGGAGGAGACTGAGGTTCTGGGCAAGCCTGGGCTGGCTCCTAGAGGGCAGGGGGCCTTTGACTGGCAGTTGTTTCCAGGGGCCTCCTCCAGAGCCTCACTGGGCTGGAGGTCTGGGTAGGGGCAAGAAGGTGCCTCTGGCAGGCAGGTAAGTCTGTCTGGCCCAGTGGTTGCCTGCTCACACCCTCCCAGCTCCCTGTCCAGCCAGTCTACCCCTTGCCCTAGATCCACAACATCCAAAGTAAGGTCAGGAGCCTCGGAAGGCAGGAAATCCTCAGGTTCTAGGTCTTGCAGGTGGAGGTCAGGGTTCCCTTTGGAGGCACTAAAGTCAGAGTGTACAATAACTTCAGCCTCCACCTGGTTCCTGCAGACTGGGGGTGGCTTCTTCCTCCCAGTGCCCTGGTCAGAGCAGAGAACACAAAGACAGGTGACCATCACTAAGAGTGATGAAAATGACCAACATATTTGGGGTGGAGAGAGACTGACACCCATCAGGGTCTCCAGGGAACTCACTACTTGGTCTTCACAAGCATGGGGACCCTTCTCTCCTCTCCTCCCCCTTCATCCCTGGAAACTGACCTTTATGGCATCATACACCAGAGCCTGCAGCAACAGCGTCTGCCCAGTTCCAGCAGGGGGCAGCAGGGCCCGGGTCAGAGAAGGCACAGGGCCTGCCTGGGGCAACTCACAGCCTGCCCAGGAACCTGCCCAGCTCGGCCCACCTGGCTGAGCCCAGGAGATCTGCAAGGTGGAGAGAAGCCGGAGCACTGAGCTGGGAGAGCGACATGGATGGAGCCCCCTCTACGGTCCTGGCACCCCTGTCTGCTCCCTCCCCGAGGCTGTGGGGAGGAACACAGAATAGGCTGAATCGGAGAACTGAGGATGAAGAAGTTCTCCTGCAGAAATGCCTATACCATTGTTTTGGCAAAGCCCCAGAGGTTTTCCAGCCAGGCAGGGTCTCCTTCAGCAGAGATGCAGGGAAAGAGTGAGGAAGGACTCAGGGGCTTGAGCAGGCTGGTCAGAGAAGGGTGGGACAAGCCACCACTGCCAGCCCTATGTGGCCCACCTCATCCAGTTCCCAGTCTCACTTGGCTACAGCCAAACTAACCATCCTCTTTTCTCCACACGGGGGAGGGCTGGATCTTAGAGGTTTCCCCAGCTCCTAGCAGGAGGAGGGATCTGGGTGTTCTGGCTACATTGAGTCACCTGCAAAAAGCCAACTGGGGGCCCTCCCCTCCTTCCATGAGAGCCAGGCCGACCTATTCTGCCAGGGATGGAGGCACATCTGCTTCCCAGCCCTGCCAACCTTTTCATGGAAGGAGAGACAGTGTCTTTTTTCCTGCAGCTGGCCAGAGGAAGGGGGGTGGGGTGGAGGGAGGTTCTCCCACAGGGTCACCCACTGTGCTCTTGCGCCCCCTGGTGACATGTTTGGGAGTGCGCCACAGTGTGGGACTTGAACCTATCTAGGCTCCAGGCTCACCTTTCTCTTGGAGTGACCCCTGCAGTCAGAAACTCCACCACCCATAAGGCTGTGCACTTCAGCCCTGTCCTCGATGTCTGAGGGTGGTGGGGACCAGTCCTGGGGACGGGGGTGCACAAGGGACTCCAGTTCATGGGTAGTTGGGAGACTGGGGGGTCCAAGGCAGGCTCGGGAGTACAGAGCGGGGTTCCCAGCGGTGGCCGTGGAGGACAGGCCTGGGAGGGCTTCCCTGGAAGGAAAGATGGGCATGGTAGTCAGAGAGTGAGGGGTGGAGGTGGGACTGAGATCTAGTCCAGCTTATGTCCCTGGGCAGATTTCTATCCATCTCTAGGACTTGGTTTCCAGTCTGTGTAATGAGTAAGAAACTCTGTTCAAAACAGCTGGAGATCTGGGGTCCCTCTTTCCAAGATTCTGGCAGCTGGGAGACAGGCAGCTCTGCCTATTTATGCCCTTGTTGACAGATTACACTGGGGGCTTCCCTAAAGCCATCCCCCACTCTCATGAGGACATCACCCAATCCCTCATCTGAGTCCCAACTTTAATGGGGCTTCTGGGGATGCTAAGTCATGGCCACTTTCCCTGCTCTCTCATCTCTGCAGCCCTCCTGGAAATCTCTCCGTAGTCAGACTGGCTCCTTCTCCTACCTGTGGGGGCCACGGCGCAGGCCAGCACACATGCAGGCCAGCAGGCAGAGGAGGCCCAGGCAGACACCCACGATGATGCCCGTGACTGAGTGCACATCCAAGGAGTCTGATTGGGGGGAAAGAGAGGGGACAGGACAGGTCAAGGACAGGAAAAGCCTAGGGTTCATAGATCAGGACTTCTTGTGGCTTCCTCAGGGGACCACTGGCATGAGTCTCACTCTTTGGACACTCACAATCTTCTGATGCAAGGACAGAAGGCCCCTACAGCCTCACAGAGACCACAGCTACCTCTCTCCAACTGTCCTCCCCACTGGACATCTGAAAGTTGTGGTCCCTCCCCATCAACTATCTGCCTGCCAACCAGGGCTGGTTTCAGGGAGGTGCAGTAAGTGCAGTTGCACAGCCCACGCTTAGGACTCTATGCTTGGTTTAATGCTGTGCAGTCACTATCTTGAAATTCTTCCTACTTTTAAAATAGGGAGCCCTTCGTTTTCATTTCACATTAGGCCCTGCAAATTACATAGCGAGCCCTGCTGCCACCACCACCCCATAAAACTCATCTAAGCCAACCCTCCAACCTGAGCAATCTCCCAAAGAAACCAAGCCAGTCTCCCCAAAATCTGAACTCTCAACCAAATCATCACTGAACCAAACCACATCCATTTCCCCTTCAAATCTGTCCTCTCTGCACCAAACTAGGAGGGCAGCTGTCCAAAACAAGGAAAGTGTAGTCGTGCCTGGCGGCAGGACCTTGGAAGAGATGACTTTAGGGTTAAAAGTCAACTCCAGGGGTCTCTGGAGACCTCGGGCTGCCTCAGGATGGATCCCCCGCCCCCTTCCCACCTTCTTACCTGAAAGCTTCTCCTGAAGAGTGATCACATCCTGCAGGCCAGAGAAGGGCCCAGGCCCCACTTCTGTGCGTGCCCCCATCTTGAAGAAGTACCTCGTGTCGCTCTCAAGGCCGCGTACCTCAGCGCTGAAGATGTTTCCTGGGAGGCAGGGGAAGCAGGGAGGGCAGAGCTCATGGGTTGAGTGGGGTGGGATGCAGGGATAGGCTGGCAAGTAGGACTGAGAAAGTCTGCTCTTCCCACTCAGGCAGTAGCTTCTGCCTGTTCCTCCTAGAACCCCTAGAACTTCAGCGGCACTCTCACTACTAATCCAGTCATTGAGAGGCTGGAGAGGGGGAAGTGGGTGGGGAAGCTCTTGCTCCAATACCCTTGGGTAGGAGCCCTCACCCTCCGTGGTGAGTAGGGTCCACTGGTGCTCGGGCTGGGTGTGGTTGTTGCTGTACAGGATCAGATACTCCACGATCTCTCCATTGGGCTCCGTGGGAGGGCACCAGTGCAGCAGAACAGTGGACGGTGTCAGGGAGCTCAGGCGCAGGTCAGATGGGGGCGTCGAGGGCCCTGGGATATAGAGAAGGGGAGAGGGGGGATCACTGGGAGCCCCAGCTCTGGGGGCAGTAGTGAGAGAGGGCGTGAGGACATGGCCTCTCTTCTTCCTCCTTTACTGGAGCAAATCACAAGCCACAAAGCAAAATAAAGTCTGGTCTCTAACTAGGGGATTTCTGGAAGGGGGGCTTCACCACTGTGCCTCCCCTCCCTCAAACTCTTCTCCACTCCTTGGAGAAGAGCTCTCTAAACTTCCATACCCAGGTATTTCCAAGGGTTGAGGAGATTGTCTGGTATTCTGGGGACCTGAGGGCAGAGCTCAAAAATTTTTGAAAGGCTTACATTTTACTTTAAACTCTCAAACTAAGTTTGCCATCTATTCCATGGTAAAGTTTAATATAAAAATAGTGTTTATAATTATCATTTAAAGTTTCTAACTCCCCTTGCCACCCCAAATCTTTAAGTAAAATTGGTTGATGAACTGTGTAGCCTGTGTCTATGCCCCCAGGTCCTACAGGGTGACAGGCACCCCAATGTGAGAAGTACCATCTTGGCAGACTTCATGTTTTGTTTTTAGAGAAGCTGATCCTGGGAGGTGGGGGTGAATTAGGAAGGGTGAGGAGAAACGCAAGGTGACTGGTGAATTGGGAAGGATAGAGATTTGGGAGATCAGGTTCTCAAGGCCTGACAGAGGGTGGGATGGGGACCCAGGGCACTAAGATGTAACAGAGCAACCTCTTTGATCCTAGGTGACTCTCCACTTCTCAGGCTCGTTTCCCCATCTGAAGAAAAAAACATCCCCTTCTGCAGCCTGGTCACTTGTGCTGGGGATCCAATGTCATAGTCAACTTCAAGAAAACATTGGGCCCGGCCGGGCGTGGCTCAGCGGTTGAGCGTCGACCTAGGATCCAGGTGATCGGGGTTCGGTTCCCGGTCAGGGCACATGCCCGGGTTGTGGGCTCGATCAATGACTCTCTTGTCATTGATGTTTCTGTCTCTCTCTCTCCCTCTCCTTTCCTCTCTCTGAAATCAATAAAGATATATTAAAAAAAAAAAGTAATGAAAAGGAGATGACTATATTTTATAATAATTGAGATTGCAGGACACGTAATGGAAAGATTGTATTGGATTTGAGCAGTTAGGAAAAACAGAGCAATAGAGACAAGTTAGGAGGATGTTAGAGTAATTCAAGCAAAGGAGCTCAACTGTCTACAATAAAACAGGGTTAGTGGAAACGGACAAAAGTGGAAGGACTTCAAGGATAGTTAGGCGTATGTATGTTATATACTAATTATTGATTAATCGGTAAAGGGCCAACGGAAAGAGCAAGTTTGATGACAAATAAAAGAAAAAGACTAGCTGATGGAGTTGTGGACGGGTGGAACCCCAAGCACAGTGTATAAATCAATGGAGCTCTGTTACAGTTAAGTTGCAGCTATGACAATTTTACCTGCAGCAGAAGTTGGATTTGTCACTGAAAGCACAAGAAATGTCAGGAGTTTCAATANAGGTGGGGGTGAATTAGGAAGGGTGAGGAGAAACGCAAGGTGACTGGTGAATTGGGAAGGATAGAGATTTGGGAGATCAGGTTCTCAAGGCCTGACAGAGGGTGGGATGGGGACCCAGGGCACTAAGATGTAACAGAGCAACCTCTTTGATCCTAGGTGACTCTCCACTTCTCAGGCTCGTTTCCCCATCTGAAGAAAAAAACATCCCCTTCTGCAGCCTGGTCACTTGTGCTGGGGATCCAATGTCATAGTCAACTTCAAGAAAACATTGGGCCCGGCCGGGCGTGGCTCAGCGGTTGAGCGTCGACCTAGGATCCAGGTGATCGGGGTTCGGTTCCCGGTCAGGGCACATGCCCGGGTTGTGGGCTCGATCAATGACTCTCTTGTCATTGATGTTTCTGTCTCTCTCTCTCCCTCTCCTTTCCTCTCTCTGAAATCAATAAAGATATATTAAAAAAAAAAAAAAGAAAACATTGGGTTTCCCTAAATTCTGTATACAATTTAAGACCATAAAAACTGAGGTCATTGAGGGGTGAGAAACAGTTTGAAAGCAGTTTTCTAAAAAGCAAATTCATGAGAATGGAGGACCTCCACACACATCTTCCTATTTCAGGTCATGGGACAAAGGTATTCTGTAGATGGGAAGGTGAACAGTCTTAGGGTCAGCAGAAGAGCCTCTGCTGTGAGAACGGAAGTCCTTTTGTCTTGCAATGCCATTTCCAGAGGGTTCCAGAGCCACAGACTTACAGAGTGAATGGTCCCACCTCTCTTTTTACCGATGAGGACTCAGAGGCCCTAGGTGGGGAAGGAGCCTGCCCAAATCTCCCTATGTGTCAGAGGCAGGATGGGGACCCATATACTAAATCCAGGACACCTGCCTCCCACCTTCCCTGGCCCCTCTTCACCAGCTCAGTGGGTCTTGGCACAGCCTCTTAAAAGAAGCCACTCCTCTAAATCCTATGTTATTATTTTTATGGATAAATGGTTAAGACCAGCACAGGACTGGCGTACGTAAATGCAAGTAAATGACACACCCTTATGGGATTCCAAGGGATATTTCTGGGCAAGAAGGAGTTGGGTAAAAGATGGACTGATGGCAAGAGGGCTGAGGGGCCACTCACGGTCAGGCAGGGTGGAACGCTCTACCACAGAGCCGAAAGGCCCATCCATGTCCACGCCATGGGACTGTACTGCAAACTCATATTTGGTGAATGGCTTCAGCCCGCCAATGAGGATGTCTTCTCCAGAGCTGCCAAGGCAAGAAATGTGACTAGTAATCTCAGGCACACCCTCCTAGTAGGGCAACTCCTCCAAATCTATTCCCCTAGCCCCAGCTCCAGCCCCAGCCCCTACCCTGGGGAGTGGACCACTAACACTAGCCAGAGAACCTTCTGAGAGGTCTGGATGTACACTGCTCCCAGGGTATCATCCTCCATGTCCAATCTCCAAGCCAGGCCCCCTTCTCTAGGAAACCTTCCTGGATTAACCCAAGCCATACTTCACCCAAGGAACCATCTGTGATGCTTCTTTTCCTTGATATAATTTTACTTTAGCTACAACTGTACACATCTACTGCTTTTTATGCAATGTTTCCTTTGCCAAGCCAGCAGCTCCTGAGGGCAGGGGCTCTGTCTCCCCATCTGACTGGGGGCCCTCTCAGGACAGTGGCTGGGCTGTCTCTTCGCCATCATACTGGGAGCCCTCTGAGGTTAAAGAAATAGGTCTGTCTGCATCATGGTCCCAAGGGGTCGGTAGAAGGCCCTGCTGTAAGCGGATGGGATCGCATGGACTCTCCTTTTCCACCATCAGGTCATCAGACCCTCAGTGTTCCCCTAGTGTAACAGGTGAGGCCTGAAAGGTTTCTGAATCCCCCAGGGTCCCTCTCCTCATCACCACCTGCTGTCTACCCCCCCC